AAACTTGAGTTATTTGTTCGTCATAAAATATTGCTGTGTGAATGAGTGTTCTCTCAGGCTGGAATCATGTTAAGGAACTTTAACATAAAGCCTGGAACTGTGTGACGAGTTCAAAGGATTCCGATCGGCGAACTGTCGAAGATGAAAGACGTTTCATATTTTATTGACAACTTTAGTCACGTGTTAGGCTCACAGACGCTTGACAGAGGTTGGCGGTATTATTTTTTTAGTCAGGTCAAGAACTAGGTCGATGTTATTCGAATATGACTTAAATATTAAGTGACCAATTAGAAGTTGAGATTTTCTGAAAATATATATTGAGCTGAATAATCTCTGTGATCCACTTTTTGCACAGAAATCGACATTGATATTCAGGCAGGATTTAAATATTAAGTGACCAATCAGAAGTTGAGGTTTATTGAAAACATTTATTAAGCTGAATAAGCTCTGTGATCCACTTTTTGTACAATAATTGATATTGATAAAAAAAAGTGGTAGCGGGATGGTAAAGTATAAGTAAGAAAATATGTTTCTTTGATCTGTGCTTTATTCGAATTGAGGACATCGATTTATTTCTAAGAAAACCTTTAACAGAAAAAGACCAAAGAATACATTAGCCAAAATTCTGCAACAAAAAATAACACCATCGGTGTAAATAATTTCAGGAATAATAACACTACATCTCTCAGAACTTTAGATAAATCAGAAGGCCAAAAAGTCAATAAGAAAGACGAAGTTACTAATAGTAATAATTTTTAGATTAATCAGAATTAATTATATAAGGTATAGAGAGAGAGAGAGAGACAGAGAGAGAGACACAGAGAGAGAGAGAGAGAGAGAGAGAGGCCCATCTACCGAAGCGTTATAATCGTAGTTGTAATGTTATTCTTTACTATTAATAATTCGTCATTCATTTACAAAACAGACAGTTCTACGACAGTCCGTTGTAATTTATAAAATCTTCCATTAAAATAATTTTTCAGAAAAATAATCCTCCAGTAACTGTTATTGCTCTTTCCAGTATTGAAGGGAGTTTCCTTCCTAACCTTTTGTTTGAAGCAGCGTGGAACGTCAACATTTGGATTATATCATTATTTTCATTTCGCGTTACTTCCATTTTAGTTGATAGTCGTCAGGTGATGTAGCTTCTGTTCTTTGTGATTCTGTAGCGTCAGTCGACGCGATTCAAAGAAAGTTTGTCCTCGCTCAGACGCACAGGCTTCATTGGCCTTTAACCACATTTAAGCATTCGTCCGAGGAAGCCGTTGTTGTCGACTGATAGTTTAAATATTTTTAAATAAGTTTCGCACCATGCATGACAACCATATGAAAGTTTCGAGATTATTTAAATACACGATCCATATTTTTAAGTTAATGTTTTGGTTTTGTATCTCCTTACGGTGTTGTGCGAAACTATCCCCAGTGCAGCCTATTCTACACCCTTCTGCAAATTAATTGAAACAACCGCTTCAGATACCTTTCTTTTACATTTTAGACCCACTGACAGAGTGTAATCGATACTATCTTTCCTCAGGTTAGATCATTTGCAGTGGTGTGCAGTAATATGGATCTCTTTACTGGCTGTATGATGAAATTTGTTTGACCTTGAAAAATATTGCGTCATCCGTGATTGCATCAGATTTTTATCACGCTCAGACACCATTGTCTCGACTGTCGATTAGTTGTCCTACGGCTATTGCTTGCAATGAATGTTACTCCAAAGAAGCGTATGAAAATCGTAATGTACGAACACACTAGTAAGCCCTACCAGTGAGCAAATCAAAGTACTATAGACTGGCCCTGAAACTCTCCTGATTTAACCCTAGAACACTAACAACCAATTAAAGTTACACCACTAATAACCATGGGCATATCATATCCGATTTTGAAAATATAAAAAAAAAAAAATATTAAATATAAATCTTTATTTGAAATATTTTACATGCAGGCACTTCAAACTTTATACTTTGAGTCAACATTAATAGGAAGAAAAAAAACATTATTTATGTAAGAAAATAAGGTACTGAAAATTGTAATTAAAAATATGAAAATTTGCGCTGGGTACTATATAGCCATGCTTAGTGTTCTAGGGTTAAGTGCAATCTAGAATCTGGTCAATCTGCAAGGCACGACTTCGTGGAATGGACATACGAAGGACTAACATGTGCACTGGGTTTTATATTTCATTGGAAAGAATACGAACAAATTAAATAATAACGGAATTATTCGTTTTGTTTCAATTTGAACAAGGGTGCATCTATCTATTAATGCCTATTCGTTGTCTGTCTGTCTATGCATATATATATATATATATATATATATATATATATATATATATATATATATATATATATATATACATGAAGATAGATAGATAGATAGATAGATAGATAGATAGATAGATAGATAGATAGATGAATAGATAATATGAATAGACTAAAATAGATACAGATGAATAGGCATAGATAGATAGATAGATAATGAACAAGTTGTGATTGATGGATAGATAGAAAAAGAGATAGGAAGAGATGAATAGACACTAATCCAAAGAGACATATATATATATATATATATATATATATATATATATATATATCAATCACAGCTTGTTCATTATATATATATATATATATATATATATTGATGGAAAGATAGATATCTTTTTCTATCTTTCCATCAATCACAACTTATTCATTATCTATCTATCTATCAATCTATCTATGCCTATTCATCTGTATCTATTTTAGTCTATTCATATTATCTATCTATCTATCTATCTATCTATCTATCTATCTATCTATCTATCTATCTATCTAATTTTGTACATCTACGTCTGGTCATCTATCTATCAATCTATCTATCTCTACACATATCTATCCATCTATTTACCTATTACTGTCTACCCAATTCTATCTATCTATCTATCTATCTATCTATCTATTACTGTCTACCCAATTCTATCTATCTATCTATCTATCTATCTATCTATGCATATTCATATTATCTATCTATCTATCTATCTATCTATCTATCTATGCATATTCATATTATCTATCTATCTATCTATCTATCTATCTATCTATCTATCTATCTATTTGTTCTGTCTACCTGTACTATCCTTTAACAGCAAAGTGTTATATAGGAATAAAGTGTCGCTGCCGACACTTAAGTTTGAAGATAGATTACCAGATGAGCAAACACAGGCCATCCCATTATTGAATTAAGTAGCTCACCTGACCATAGAGGAAACGCATAAGTAGGATGTGACGTGACGTCCAAATGATCACCATTTCTAGTCTATCCTCTATTACTATACGGATAACAATTTCTAGACTGTACAATTTTTCTACTCTATTCACTATGGTATTTCTCTATTCGGATCACTATTCAGAATTTCTGTTCGAGCGAATACTATTACTGTGAGTGATAATCGAAGGCGGCTGACGATAGAGGAAACGCATATATGGGAGGTAGCGTATCTAGTTGATTGCCATTTCTAGTCTTTTATTACTGTACGGATCACTCTTTCTATTCTATCCTCTATTACTATATGGACCGCTATTCTCTACTCTATTGACTATACTATTTCTCTATTCTGATCACTATACGGGTTACTTGTCGAGCGAGTATTATCGAGCAAGTACTATTAGTGCGAGTGTTATTCGAAGGCGTCTGGCACCAGTATTGTTCAACGGCGTTACTAGAGTTGTATTTGCGATTATAAAGTCTCTACTTCAACGAGCATTGCGAAATTGACAACGAGTATTCGTTGACATTACAGAAGTGGCAACGAATATTGGTTAACATCACAAAACAAAGCTAAGGAAAATTTCTTAATTGGGTAAATAATAACAGAATACGTTTTGTTTCAATTAATTTGCACAAGAGGGTATATTCAACTTTTTTTTTTATCTCCTCTAGCAAATTTGTTATAACTGATCCACACACTGACATAATTGAAGTCTTTAGTATTTATTAATTACACATCTTTTATATTTATGATGCATTCAGGGTAGGCGTCAACACTACATTTTGTTTACATTCGAGATCATTCTGTTTTTGAAAAGGTTTATCTTGAGTCCTACTTCTTGGAAGAGTTGATAGAGAATGTTTATTTTTTTTATACAATATCATTCCTATTCCAAATACGAATACCTACGTCATCGGCATAGCAACCTCCTCCTCCTTCTCCTCCTCCTCAGTACATTGGCCTCGGGAGGAGAAGCAGGAAAGGTGTTTTTTTTATTAGTAGTTAAGAAAGTGATAAAAATGAAATTGATGAGAATATTAGTCTGATGGGAGTTTCCTTCCTAACCTTCAGAACTTCGGATACTAGTAGACAGGCTGAAGAGTTCATCAACCGAATGTTTATGATAGAAATAATAAAGATTAGGATACTAGTTCAAGTCATTCGTAGAATAATGATCGTAGTGCATCTCGGAATTTCAACGAACTAAGAAAAATGCATCGTGGGACGGGATTGAACTTGAAGACTCTGAGAGATGCATTTCCGTGAAGACAGTGGAACTTGGCCGATAAAGTCGAAATGCAATGATGAAAAACTTAACCTGAATTAACCTATCTCCCTCATTCAGCAACCGATGCAAGTGACAGACGTTTGTCCGATAAAATCGCCGCAAGTCAGGATTGAAACCGAGCCGAGCCAAGTGTCGCTGATGGCCGGACGCCCGCATTAAAATAGAGGGGTGGGGGAAAGAAAGAAGGATAACGCCCCCCCCCAACACCTTTAGCCCGTTTGAGGCGACCGTCTGTTCAATTTGTCCTGTCGTATATTTCCTTGTTTTCTTTTAGGCTGGACTGTCAAAGAACACCCGTCAGTGTGTTTTTTGTCCTTTTGATAGCTATTTGAAAAGATGAAGGACTTCCTCGTTGACGAAAATCGTGTTTGACGTAATAAAAAAGTGTTGGGGTTGTTTCAGATTTAAAATCTTGAAAGATTGGAAATAATAAGCGTTGAGTAGGCGTTTGTAGATCTAGTTTTAGAGAATAATGTTGTGGGGCGGGGTGGAATTAGAAATTAATAGAGGTGAAAGGAAGAGGAGGAGGAGGAGGAGGGGGACGGGGGGGAAGAGGAAGAGAGTGAGAAGTAAAAGAAGAAGGGTCAAGGAGTTGATAGAAGAGGAGAAAATGGAGCTGGAGGAGTGGGATGAAGAAGAAGGGTCAAGTGGAAGCAATAGAAGAGGAGGAGTAACAACAAGAAGAAGGTTTAAAGTGTGGGAAGATGGAGGAGGAAGTGTGAGAAAAAAGTTGATGATGATGAAGAAGAATGCTACAGGAATGGAAAGAAGAAGAAGAAGAAGAAGAAGAAGAAGAAGAAGAAGAAGAAGAAGAAGAAGAAGAGTGGAAAAGAGGAGAAAGATGAGAGAAAGAAGAAGAAAGAAAAATGAAAGAATGCTACAGGAATGGAAAGAAGAAGAAGAAGAAGAGAGTGATAAGAAGGAAAAGAATGAAAGAAAGAAGAAGAAAGAAAAATGAAAGAATGCTACAGGAATGGAAAGAAGAAGAAGAAGAAGAAGAAGAGAGTGGAAAGAAGGAAAAGAATGAAAGAAAGAAGAAGAAAGAAAAAAACTACAAGAAAATTATGTAAACAGCGAGAGAACGAGAGTGAGAAACACTGAAATGACTCCGACAACAACATGAAGCAAAAATTAAGAAAAAATTGTAAAAAGAAAACAAGAGAAGGAGATTAAAGAAGAAAAAGAAGATAGCGAAGGTAACATCTACAGTAACAATGATTCTGATTTCATTTGCTGCCCTTAGGCGCAGCCCTTGCCTTCATGAGAAATCCAAAGCCTCGCTTTCGATCTGTGCTCATTCATCACGATTTATCAGAAGAACGACGTTGCCTAGAGCCCTACTTCATACGTCCAAGATTTAGTGCTGATAATAACAGCGCTTATGTGCTGCTGTCACTTTCTGCTCTCATAACTTTCGACAGATCCCTTTTAATGTTTTCACTTATTTTCATTTCATCTGCTTTTACCCTCAAGCACGAATCCTACTTTTGATGGCAAACCCTATTTTTCCTTCCTTCGCGTGAAAGTCGAATTGTCTTTTATCCCTGAATTAAAAAAAATATATATTTTCTTATTTTTTACGATTTTGTTTTAATGAGATATTCTTTAATTACCAAAAAATATTCTTCCTCTTTGAAATGTTAAAAGATTCTTGATTTTGATTTTATTGAAGGTCAGTCAATGTTTGTCTTTCCTTGATGGTCTCTGTAAACAACTTTTGATCCTTATATCAGACATTCATTTCGTATTTTCTATTCTTTTTATTTAAGGGAATTAAAAACAAAGTTTTGAGGAAGGAAATATTTTATATGGTTTGTTGAAAAGAAAGCATATAAAATATTTAAATATTTTATATGGTCTGTTGAAAAGAATTATTGTGATTCCACTGAGAAAATAATATGAACTCATGCTCTCTACAATGAAGATTTTCTCAGTGTAAACCAGCATTTCTCGACCTTTTTGCCCTTTTGGAAACCTTGAAATAGTTTCCAAGTCTCAGAGAACCCAACTGCATAAAAAAAATAACATTGTAGATCACGTGGTAAACATAATATATGGCTTTCGGTCTGTTCTTGAGTGAGTCAACCAATGATGCCCATATCCTCCACGGACAAAGCCTGTCCAATAAAGAATGAAGACCGTTTCACACTGACATCATACAGACATCGCTAAATACATTACCTATGATTATTATAATTTTAAATAATATGAGAGGTTGAAGCCTTTATTATAATAACCAAGGATTTTACAATAATATGCCGTATACATATATATATATATATATATATATATATATATATATATATATATATATATATATATATATATATATATTTCAATTAAATGTGCAAATATAATTTATAAATTCATGAATCATTCATACAAAAAACAAATATAAACGGGGATCATATCCTTCATATACAGGTTCGGGGTTGATGTATCTTATAGTGTTTGCGACGAAGTATTCTCGCCATTTAAATCATTAACCTCTATATTTGTTTTTTGTATGAATGATTCATGAATTTATAATATATATATATATATATATATATATATATATATATATATATATATATATATATAGTAAAAACTATGAATATAAAATCTTAATCTTTCCTTTGGTAAACATAATATATCGTCACTATGCATATGCATCCTGTGCTCGAGTGAGGCACTTAGTGACACACGAATACGTCACGTACAGGTTCAGTCCACTGACCAGTAAGGCGGTTTCACACTGACGCCATACAGACATCGCTAAATACATTCCCTATGATTATTATAATTTTAAATAATATCAGAGATTGAAGCCTTTATTATAATAATCAAGGATTTTACAACAATATGACATATATATATATATATATATATATATATATATATATATATATATATATATATATATATAAAACTATGAATATAAAATCTTCATCTTTCCTTTGGTAAACATAATATATCGTCACTATGCATATGCATCCTGTGCTCGAGTGAGACACTTAGTGACACACGAGTACGTCACGTACAGATTCTGTCCACTGACCCGTAAAGCGGTTTCACACTGACGCCATTCAGACATCGCTAAATACATTCCCTGTTATTATTATAATTTTAAATAATATAAGAGTTTGAAGCCTTTATTATAATAATCAAGGATTTTACAACAATATTCTCTACGTGTCTAATAAAATTACGAATATAAAATTAAACAACAATAACTAAAAAATTATCACTGTTTTTCGCTGAACCTCGAGTGACCTTTTGTGAAACCGTAGGATTCCTGGAAACACCGGTAACACCGGTTGAGAAACTGATTTAAAGTATATTTGCGAGCATCTTGATTACGCGTAATCCATCTGTAATCCCAAATCCTCTGAATAAAACACTCAGGAAAAGTAGAGAAATGATTATTATTATTATTATTATTATTAATAATAATAATAATTTCTCTACTTTTCAAATGGGTGAAGAACATGAAAGTAGTAAGCGACTTTATTCAGTAATAAAGGAAGCAAACAAGTTCAAAATAGAGTTTCAAATAGGTGAAGCAATACAAGTAAAGTACAATACACCGACTGAAACTGCAAAATATTTTTTTTTTAAAAAGCAAAAGCAAATGCAAGAGATCAGACATAGAAACGATGGCAAGATAAACCCCTTCACGGTCAATACTCTACCCGTACCAAACAAATTGATGTTGACAAACCCTGTACCCATCAGTGGCTACGTAGTGCAGGGTTAAAAACTGAAACTGAAGGTTTTATACTTGCTGCACAGGACCAATGCTTGCTAATTAGGAATTATCAAGCACACATGATGAATAATTGTGTTAGCCCCAAATGCAGATTCTGTGATAAATATCCAGAAACAATTGACGATCTTGTATCAGGTTGCACGGTATTGCCACCCACGGAATATAAAACACGGCACGACAGAGTGGGCCAATATATGCATTGGAAAATATGCAACTTCTTCAGAAAGGAAACTGAAATAAATTGGTATGAACTCCACCCAAACCCGGTTACGCAGATAGAACCTGTGTAATTTTATGGTACTTCACAATACACACAGACGGAACAATCAAAGCTAATCGCCCAGACATCGTTATCAAAGACCGCACATACTAAAAATGCCTTCTTATTTATATGGCAGTCCCGGCAGAATGCAATGTATCTTTGAAGATATTCAAAAAATCTATCAAAATACAAAGACCTTGAAATTGAAATCTTAAAAATGTAGCACATGAGAACATCAACAATTCCTGTTGTAGTTGGAGCCCTCGGATTGGTTGGAAAAGATTCCAATAGACTCATTGAAGGAATTACTGACAGCCCATGCCTTAAAGAAATACAAAACATTGTTCTCAAGAGTACAGCCCACACCTTACGAAAGGCTTTATCTATGTAAAATATGTGTGATTTTTTTTAATTGCTCAGTGGAAAATGTCATGATGCGGTTTCTGATCTTAGGTCTCTGGTCGGGACCCGGAAAGAAATGGATAGACACCAGAAATCAAAGGAATAATAATAATAATAATAATAATAATAATAATAATAATCTGGACCAACAGAAAAGTGGCTGGCTGAGGAGCACTGGGTTGAAAGCTGAATCAGAAATCCTAATTATTGCAGCTCAGGACCAAACCCGAAATGCAGAATCTGCGGAAAATATAATGAAACTGTCGACCATATTATCTCACTATGTCCGGAACTGGCAAAAAAGAATATACACAGAGACATAACAAGGTAGTGGCATATGAGCACTGGAAGATATGCGAGAAGCACAAAATCGAATCCACTGACCATCAACCAGACGCAGTTACCCAAAATAAAGATGTAACTATCCTCTGGGACATGCCAATTCAAACTGACAGGGAAATAAAAGCCAACAGGCCTTATATTAATATAAAAGATAAGAAATCCAGGAAGTGTATGCCTATTGACATAGCAGTACCATCTGAGAGAAACACATCCATAAGAATTATCGAGAAATTGTCCAAATACAAGGAACTGAACATCGACATTAACAGGATGTGGGGAATGAAGACTGAGACTGTACCAATAGTAATCGGAGCACTGGGCCTCGTGAGAAAAGGAATGGACAATTTTACTAATAGTGTCCCAGGTAACATCAACATACAAGTTGCCCAGAAAGATGGCTCTACTAGTAGCATCCCATATACTAAGAAAAGTGCTATCAGTTAAATGACAATTCTCCTATAGGGCCTAAGGACCATAGTTTGGAACCGGCTCTACAGGATACAAAGCAGGAAACATAATATACACAAATAATAATAATAATAATAATAATAGCAGCTCTGATGCTCTAACTGTCCTGGCGCTGTCTGATCTTAATAGATTGGATGTGTTAACATATACAGGTTTTGTCTTGGTGATTTATGATGTGTCCCACCAAGTAAAGTATGTGTGATGTGGTGCAATGGATAACGAGATAATGAGAAATCGGAGATCCGAGTTCGAATTCCAGTCGGGTTCCTTACATTCATTTACGCGCAAATACCTTTAGGAAAGGTATGGATTTCTAACTTACTCACCCCAGCTATGAGCTGAATGGTAGGATAGGCTGCGTCCTATAGCCTTTGGTGGTAACCAGTGGACCGTAGAAAGAAATGGTAACCTAATGCGGGAAAATTTTGTGTCTATTCAGTCCTGAATCGAGACATGATCGCCCAAGCGTGTATCACATGATGACATTTGACTGCAGTAAATATCCTGTATTTACATTAGTCGGACTATTGTCCTCATCTTTGTCGCCATATTTGTTTTCGGCCGTTGTACGCTCCGGCCTTCAGGTGGTTGGAATTTCGAACTTGCCGATCGCTGGGGTAGACTGTTCTAATTCCACTATGTTATGGATGTCAGGCGTTTTCCTCTGAAAGTTCTCCACTGCCTTAACCAGCTGAACACCTTCTTTGGGTCTGTCATCTGTGCCTTTATCCAGACCTTGAGGACATTTTTTTTCTGACTGTAAACCTAATGTTTTCAGCATCATTTTTACCAGGCTCATATTGCAATTTTTTGCTGTTATCATTGCATGTTACATCTAAATTTGTTATTTGGGAACACAATTCCCATATTGTATTTATTTCTATGCTTGGTCGGCTCAGAGATTTTGTGGCCTAGCATATGTGCTGATTCCTAACATAGTTATCCGACCTTTCCAATGGTGTTTCCCTGTTATGATCCCCCCACAGGGGCGGTGATCATATCGCCACGCCTGATTTTTTATTTGGCTGTCGTGTTCAAGCCTGGGGGGCGGCCTTTCTCCTTTATATACTGCTTAATCAGATTTCCTCTCTATGGGGGTCTCACTCGGGAGATACCTGCGA